CGTGGGTGTTATGGGGAAGAAAAGCAAACTGAACAGTGCTGTGGGTTTCCCCCCACTGGCTTTCTGAGGCTATTTGACAAAGAAATACAGAACTTCTGTGCTTGTAATTTGGTCAAGGCTTGGTTTGACTTAGACTTTGCATTGTAAGGGTGTGGTTGAGTCAGACTGTGGGTCTCTAGAGACTGGCAAAAGGATGTCTGCTTTTAATGTCTCCGTACTTTGGAGTAGCTTAAGTTATAAAGTATAACAACTAAACTACACTGGTTTTCTTCAGCGACAGAAAGTCTGACTTTGATCACGCAGTTAAATCTGATTAATTAAAGCAGGGTAGTTTAAACATATGAAGAACGTGCTTTTGAATCATCTGCTGCCTACTCCTGGAGCCTGCAAGCAGCCACAGTGGATCAGGAGCATCGGATGCTGCTGATCTAAGCAGATAACTATGTGACAGTAAGATTTAGTCTTCCCTGTAGGGAGGAACTTTTTAAGCTAGAACAAAAAGTCAGCTCTGCCTATCATCTGGGGTTTTGCTTGACCGTTTCAGTGCAGCCTTGCAGCCCAAATTTTAACTTTGTAAATGGTCATTTATTCTTTCTTTTTGGTTTATGTAGTCGTGGTACAGGTTCTTTCTCTCGGTGTAGCAGCGTACTACAAGGTGTAGCTTGTAGTTGCAGTTGCCCCTCGCAGTTCAGCCCCGCTGCTGGCGCAGGCGGAACGAGGAGGGAGCCCGTGACAGTAAATCGTCAGGCGCCTCGGCTCCCTGGGCCCTTTTTGCTTCTTCCAGAGGAGCTCGAGCCAACCCTGCCCCCCTTTTCACCACCCCGCAGGACAGTTGCCTGTTTGGGCACCTCCAGGTTTTGCGTTACCTTGCTGTCTCCTGAATTTTAGTGTGTGCTAGAGCAGCACGCGCTGTGCTAGCACAGCCCTCGGTGTTGGGGACTAAAGCCTCCTGCGCCTATTTAATGACCGGTGTGACTGCGTAGCTTGTCTTGCAGCGCTGCTTCACTTGCTGCTTTGGCAAACAAAAGACTTCGTTGGGAGATCTTTTAGGTTTCCCAGAGAAGTGTGAGCATCAGCCTTTCTCCTTCCTCCTAACAGGTGCCTCCAAAGCTTAGCGCTGTGGGCTGTTAACCCATCCTGAAACAAGGATCCCCAGTGCTGGGATGGAATTAAGGCTGAGGTATACTGCTCTTTATTATTTAAGAATGAACGCAAAATAATTGTTTTAAGGTTGTTTACACCTGAATGCCTATCCACAGAATAAGGACCTAGACTGAGTCAGCGGAGATCTGGTCCGAGTCAGACAGTCTGCTGCTGCTCGGATTGCAAATGTTGGGGAGTTTTTGTTTGTATTTTTCCTTTTCCTGGCTGCGGACAGAAAGGGGTCCAGCTGAGTGTCATCGTTTTGTCAGGCGATCACCAGACAGGGTCTAGCATCTGACCAACTTCATCGCGATGCCTAAACCTGGGCCTAACCCAAGAAATATCTGACTTAAATAATTTGGCAATAAGGTATTAACTGAAGGTGTGGCAAGGTGCCCGAACATGCTCCCTGTTGTCTATTTTGGTATTTCTAGTGTGTGATGGATTTAGAAATAGTGAATTTTAAAACAGGCTTAGACAGAACGGCTTGGCCCCTCATCAGTGGGACATGCAGTATCACAGGCACTTGGACTTATATTCAGGAATCACAGCTGGGAGGAGCTGGAAGGCATATCGAGAAGCCTGTTAACTGTGCCTAGATGGAGAAGGATTTTCTTTCTTTGGTGAAAATTAAGCCATTTACTTGCCCAGTTACCCTCTCTTTCACTTCTCTTCCCATTCTTCCGGCGGGCCTGACACTAATTAGCGATCCCCTTGGTGTAGTGGCTTTTTACATCTCAGGATGTTGTCATATACCACCTTAGCATCCCCGTTTCCAGGCCGAAGAGCTCACTTCTTCCCGTCCTCCCTCCCAGCTATTGGTTTCTAGCCTTTTACTATCTGTAGTGCTCGCTTTTCTCCGAATTCTCCAGTTGGCGCCTCTCGTGTAAAGTACAGGCCTTGAATGACCACTTGCACCCTGCTGTTAGGCAAAGCGCATTTGGGGTGTATTTTCTTACAACCTGTTGAACTGCTCATTGAAGTTGTCCGTTCACGTGACTCTGAAATCCCAACTTGATCTTCCATGGCGCTGTGAGCTGCTTGATTGCTTTCCGTTTTGTGCTTTTGCCTTTGCGCTCTTCTTGCTGGAAGGCAACGCTTTGCTTTGGTCGTTATTAAATTCCCTCTTGTTAGCTTTAGGCCTCTTTCCAGCTTCTGAATAATTTTAAACCTGCTCTCCCACGGACCGATGATGTCTTTCTCCCACCCCTGCCATGATATCATATGCAAGCTTTGTATGTGAACTGTCTTATTTCATCATCCAAATTCTTAATGAAAATATTAAATAGCCCAAAGCCCAGAGCTGACCCCCATAGGACCTCTTGTGAAATGTCTGTCGTGTTTGACAGTGAACCATTGATAGCTGGGCTCTCAGTGCAGTATTTCAACCAGCCGTGCACCCACCTTATGGTAATTACAGCCAGACAATATTTCCCTTGTTTGTTTATAGGAAAGTTGCATGGTGAAGGGTTAAAGGCCTTTCTTTAAAAGAGTCAAGATGTAGCCCACCTCCTACTCCTCGCTTTTTTACTAAGCCAATTATCCTGTTAAAGGAATGAGAATGGTATTTATTCTTGAAAAACTCATAGAGACTGTTTTTAGCACTGTGTTATTTCTTTGAAGGGCCTGAGATGTTTGTTTTGGGTCCCGCTCCCCGCTGTTCACCCTAATATCGCTTCACGTTGTGTTAAGGCTGATGGACCTGGTTCCCCCTGTGATCCTCCTTTCATTGAAAGGGAGAGACAGGGCAAGGAGGAAGCAAGTGGTGAAGGCCCTGAGCAGAGGCAGAGGACCTGGTTCTCCCTGTCCCGGTCATTCCTTTGATTTGCTTTGTTACTTACTTGCTGCTCCTTTATTGCTACTTCTTTAAGAGAAGACATGTGTTTCCCTCACAGCCACACATGAGTTTTAATTAACCCACAGGTGGTCTGATTAAAACAAAACAAAGTGAATGCCAACATTTGTGATTCACTGCTGTGTGGTTTAGGTAGGTGAAATGAGAGGAAGTATTATCCTAGAGACCTTTCTTGCCTGGTTGCTCAGCTTGTTTGCTTCTGCCGCTGCCGCCTCTCCCCTCCCGCCTCTGTCCTGCCTCTGCCTGGTGAGCTGTGCAGGTGAGCAGGGACCGTGAGTCAGGGGAGGTCTCATTTTCAAGCCTCGCTCATTCTGCAGACATGTCCTTGAGCCATGGCCTAGATGCACGTGAGCATCAACCTGCACCAAGAATCAGCAACTTGGCCATTCTGACCAAAGCTATCTTAAAATAGATCCATGTTTTAGTAGCGTCAGCCTGCGAACATGCAGGTATATTGGGGAAAATCCCAAACGAAGCAAACAGAGCGTGGTCAAGTGCCCCGCGTTTGCATGCCCTATTGCACCTAAGCAACGTTTTACTTTCAGCCTCCCGAGCAGTGCTGCTCGTGCCGGACTGCACCGTTTTGTTTTGCGAAGGCTCCCAGGTCTGCCGTGTCTCCTGACTGAGCGCTTTGGCTGCTGCAGGATGGTTCGGCCAATGCAGATGGAAAACAGGGCTCGTGCGTGAATCAGCGCTCTGAAAGCTGCTAGGTAATCTCAGTGGAGCAATGGCAATTGGTAACAGGGAACAGGGAAGGTTTTACTCTGGCAGCCTGGAAAAGGTGAGGAGGAGCGTGTAATTGCAGGCAGCAAGGACTGCAAAGAGGCTGCATGAGGACACTTGCTATGACTCATGCGTTGCCCTCTCCAGACGCAGACTTGTGCGGTTTGCAGTGAAACAAAATAACATGTCAGCACAGGATACAGATGTGTTTCCACAAGTCACAGCGAAACTAGCTGGCTGGCCTTTACAATTCATTTATCAAAGCATTTCCAGTTCCCATTTTGAGGCTAGAGACTAATAATAAGTATCATTGCAGGAAAGCTAACTGGGACTTAAAATGATAATCAGCTTAAAAAAAAATCTGAGGCACCTATGTTTGTTTTTGAAATATTTAGCATCCAGGGGGGATATTTGGAAACGCTTTGCTTTTGCTGTAGTTAACAGGAGTTTTTTGTTGTTGATTTCGGTTTGATCTGAGAAACGCACAGAAATCTTAGCTCAACAGATCAGTCCTCAGTTCACCACTTGCAGACACTAATTTGGCTGGGAAACCCTCCTGTACTGCTTGTGGCTGTTAGAAATTAAAGGGCCAAAGCTGCTGCTGGCTGGGAATTGCTTTGTAGGGTCATATCCAGAAACACTATCTGTGAAAGGGGCCATTAACAACAGTTCAGGAAAAAGGGTACGTAGCTGGATGATCTGATCCCAAACATAATTATCACTGTCTTGTAACACTGAATATTGGTCTAAGACCCAGATCACAAGGAATGCTCTCCTTCCAGGCTTCAATAGTAATAAAGCTATTATCATCCTGCTAAAGCCTCTAAGCTTTGATATGAATTAGGATAAATAGCTGTATTGTTATTTACCATAAAAATGTCCAAGCTTTCTGAATTTTGCTAAGTTCTTGGCCTCGTCGCCTTGCTAGAATGCGCTGCCTTTTAATTGAGGGCAGAACTCCCTGGTTTTTGTCTGTGCCAGGAATGAAGAAAAAAAGAAGAAAAGATTAAAGAAGAAAACGTGTGGATGCACTGTTGTGTCGTCTTACTATTCACTTTCTGCTTGCCCGTTAGTTCTGTGCAAAACTGCTGCAGTAAAATGCCGGTCTCTCCCAGTCTACCGTTATCAAGCATAGCCAGTATTAGTGTCTCTCTGAAATCACAGCTATATATCTTTTATTTTATTTACATCCTGTTAGGTGTAATGTAGTCACTGAGCAGCACTGAAGGAGGTTCTGCCAAATAGCCCATCCAATTTTTATTTGCGCAGTCAGGGTAACAACACAGCAACCATTAGGAGGAGCTGTGAGTACTGATCCATAAGGAAGTACTCGGATGCTTTTGCATCCTCTGTTTAGCAGACCAAAAGCAGGGAGCTACCGCAACTGCCTGCTCTCTTCCTCTGCATGGCTTCAAGTCAGTTTAAGTTCCCTGAGAAACTGGGGAATATGACTGAGTAAATTTGAAAGCGATTTCTAGACACTGCTTTAGGAGCCTGGGATGAATTGCAAGTACTAAGCCAACTCCTCCTCCCCATCTTGCAGCGCCATAAAAATCTCTGTGATTCATCTGCATTGTAAGCTGTGGGAGTGGCACTGACAGACTAAGGGTTGAGGGCAAAAGATTTAACACTTCCACCTCCCACCCGTCAACAACGAGACTGGCACCAAGGAAAAGTTTGGGCTCGGTGGAAGTTTCCCACAAAGCCTTCTGGCAGCTCTTCTCTGCTGAAGGAGTACCGGGATGCTGCAGGCAGTGGTTGGACCATCTTCCAGCTGGAGCCTGCAGGGATCCGTCATAGGAGCAGCCGAGTTTTCCCATCTCCCATCCCAGACTAGGGGCTCCGTCCTCATCTGACCAAAGGAATTTGAGGATCCACACTGAATTCTTTGCTGAATTTATTGAGCCTCCCACTACCAAATATGGTGGCGACGCACTTTATTTCAATGGAGGGAGGCTGACACGAGCTTTCCATTTGCAGGGCTCCGGGGGAAGCCGGTGGGAGTTAAAATTTCACAGGGATACAGAGTTCTCTCTCTTAATGTACTGTTTGGCAGCACTGGCTGTTTCTAATTCTGACTTAAACAAGAGCAGGCAGCTGGAATGCAAACTGCAGAGATGTTCCGCTTAAGAGTAAAGCAGTTAAAGAAGTTTTGTTATTTAAAAAAAAAAAAAAAAGGAAAAGGCAGGCAGTGAAAATAAATAAAATAAGCTAAATTGCCGGGAAAAAATATGGCATCAGTGAAGCTAGCAAGGAACTATGTGTCCCATGTAGAAATTAGCTAGCTAATCTACCCACAGGTCAGAATTGTGCGTTTTCCATTGATGGAAAAATATTTTTCTGCACTAGTCTTGAGAATGACTTTGATGGCAGGGAATTTCTGATGCAGTGCAGAGGGGTGCTGCTTCTGTTTTTCTGGCCAGGTTTGGCAGGGCTGTTTGTGGTGGTTGTGTGGCTCTGCTGAGTACAGTAGATAAGGATCAGTCATTTGAAAAGTTGCCACTTGTTGTATAGTGGGTGACTCGGTCTACTGAGATGCTAGATCCACCCTTCGTGCTATATGTTTGCCATCTAGGTCACCGTGACATCTGTTAGATTGGCTGTGCCTTTGCTGGTGCTCTAGGGAAATCTGGAAAATCAGAGGGCGAATGCTGCTCCTCGCATTGCTTTGTCCTCCCTTCCAGCTATAGCAGTCTCCGTTGGGAGAGAGAGCCCGGCTGCCTTTAAAGCTTCTGGGAGCGAGACGGGCATAGCTTTGCTTACCTCCGTGAGGGTCTTGGGAAGGAAAAGAGCAGCAGAAGCTACAGAAGTCCCAGGAGCCTTGGGGAGGGGGAGGTGGGAGCTCCCAATAGAGTTGAACATCTGGGAATTGCATGCCAGAGATGTACAGAATAAATGCTTTGCGTGTGACGAAAGCACTGTAAGAGGAGGAGCGTGCAAAGGTGCGTTTGTGTGGGAAAGAGGGGCATGCAGTGAAAAGCCAAAGGAAAGATGGTTGAACAAGAACAACATCCTTTTTCATCTAAACAGTGTCTGAAAGCAAAAAAACAGGAAAAGAAAAAGAAGAAAACAAAGTAGGCAATGCATTTTGGAAAAAGCAACACCCTCCCAGCCTTCGAAGTCTACAGTTTAAAAAAAAACAGGGAAGAAAAGAAATAGGCCATATTTAAAAAAAAAAAAAAAAAAAGCAAAGATTTAATTTGAAATTAAAGAAGCCTGGAAAGGCAATGCGGTTTAATGGAATTGTAATGAGTCATCACTAATAGCAAGAATGCCCACTGCTACCTTGTGTAATCGTGTGACCCAGCAGCACCACCCTCCCCGTCTCTTTTATTTCCACTGCCGATCCCTGCGCACGCTTAGCGCATCTGCCTCATGCGGGTTCCAGGCCTGCCCTGTATCGAGGCAGTGGCCAGGCAGAAGGGTCCCCAGTCTCTTCTGACCTTGTGGGAGTTCACTACGATATACATAATTAATAGAAGCTATGTTGCCGTAGGGACCCTACGTGGGAGAAGAAATTAGCTTATAAAGGCAAGGTTTGCAGAGAAAAGGTTTAGCAAAGAGCTTTCTCTGTTGATGTGATCCATACTTTGAAAACGGAGAATGTTTGTTTAAAAAAAAAAAACCTTCAGTAGAACAGGAGTAAAAAAAACTGCCCAAGTTCGTGGTTATTGTGCCACGTGCACACAGTTGCCAAACAAAGAACCTCAAGGTTGATGACAAAGCTGTATATAAGCTTGCATGATGAAATCTGAAGCTGGACAAACACAGCTTGGTTTTCATTTATAGTTTAAAGCCCGCAGTGTGTCCAAGTTCATAAGGATTTTGGCAAAGTTGAGCCAAGTTTTAGGAGGTCTTGGTTGAGTTATAGTTTCTGATGGAAACTATGCAAAAAGGACTGGTTTCCATGCCAAACCAGACAAAAGTTATGGTTTTGACTGTTTTGCGTCAGGTTTTGGAAGTTCAAGTCTAAAGCTCAAAGTAAAAGCAAAACACAGACTTCGGCCCCAAAAAAAAAGTTGACTAGAGCCACGATTTTTTTGAGATTCTGTAGTCTGTCTTTATTTTATGGGTTTTTTTGTATTTACCAGATTGCCATAAATTCAAATGAAATACAGATTCTGCTGTGTCTTTTGTTTTCTTGTTAACAAACATCTGGAAATTCAGCTTGTGCAATAAATAGGCTGTAGTGAGTAGTTTTTGCTCTCCAGTGTCTCTTTTGGGAATGGGTATGTTAATCCTGGCTCTGCTCTAGAGGAGGAAGTCAGCTGGACCTGTGTTTGCCGTTGCAGATGTGGTGCTGGAGAAGGCCATGCACAAGTGCATCCTGAAGCCGTTGAAGGGCCACATTGAAGCGATGTTGAAAGAGTTTCACACTGCGGACGGTTCTTGGAAACAGCTAAAGGAAAACCTGCAGCTGGTGCGGCAGAGGAATCCTCAGGAACTGGGTGTGTTTGTTCCAACGCCAGACTTTGTGGACGTTGAAAAGATTAAAGTCAAGTTCATGACCATGCAGAAAATGTATTCACCTGAAAAGAAAGTCATGCTGCTACTGAGAGTTTGCAAATTGATTTACACTGTTATGGAGAATAACTCAGGTATGGTGCTTTCTCTGATTAAAGCTCGCTGTTATTCCAAACTTTGCCTTTGGTTGCCTTTTGGTGCAGGAGATGAGATCACTGGATTCTGCAGAGACAGATGCCTCTTCCTCCTTGAGCTCTTGCAGTGCCTCTCTCAGCCCTTTTGAGAGGCATCCTGCTGCTCCTCTTCTTTCCCGATGTCTCTGATGCTACTGGCAGCACATGCGTGAAGGTTAAGCAGAGTTATGAAGCAGCTTCAAAAGGACAGCTTTGCTTAGCTATTGGCTTTTGCAATTGGCTGTCAGAAAGCCTGTCCTGTGAGTCTTGATTTGACACTTAGACTAAATGAGTATTATTCTGGAAGTTGTAGAAGAGGTGGTTAAATACACCCTATATTTCAGCCTATATTTTTGAATATATTGTGTGCGTAATACCACAACCATAAGGGCTCTGTGTAACTGGGCAGAGAAAAACAGCCTCTGATCCAGTACTTCTGGCTTCCTCTGAATGTTCTCATTTGGACATTTTCTTCGGGTTCTTGAAACAGAAGTAACAATACTGACTTCTACACTGTAGCAAGTGTCAGAGTGACCTTGAAAGCCAGATAACAAAATGGAACTAGAGACTAGTGAGAGCTGCTGAGCCATCAGTGACAGACACACCATGAAAACACTGTGGTAGATGGCATGAAGTCACAGGTGCAGCTGCGTTGCCCAAAGTCCTATCAGACATTGCTGTAGTAGGTCGTGAGCAGTGCAGGTGGTAGGAGATCCCCCCCCTCCCCCCGTGGCAAATTGAAGCTGCCGCAGGTGGTTGGCAGATTGAGCACCAAATCTGCAGCTGGGCCTGGTGCTGATCAAGACACCTCCTTTCTTTTGGGATTTGAGATGATTGTGGCTGAAGCCCCTCAAGCACTTTCATGAGAACTGGATGCAAACTCCTGCCCACCTTTATTCTGTGCCAACTGTTCCTGCATTTTGAAGTGGACATAGGGATTCTGGCCCAAAGTGCTGTAGACTTTCTTCCATGTTGTACTATTGCATTGAGTAAGGTGTTTCCAGCAAGCAGAAAAAAAAAATACCAAGCGGGCACTGCCAGTCAGTTACTGTATTGAGGGGCTTGGGCTAGGTGTGGCAAATGCGCCTTGGGTTGTGCTATCGTGGGAGGCTTGTAAAACATGGCATTGAGCTAGCAGCTCTTTGCATATCTTTGCTTCGTCTTGTCCTCTCAGCCAGATAATAGTGTGATACCTGGAGGATGTGCCTTAGCTGGCCTAATTTTAGATCAATCCTTCAATCATCTGGAGTTTCACCAAAGATTAAGCTGGCTCTGCTCTTGGTGGTGTTAAGTGACCAGCACACCAGTTCTACAATGAGCACAGATTGGCCAGACCCAGATTGTATTTTGTAGAAAATACAATCCGTATATATAGTATTTTCCATCTTCTAAATGGAAAGTTTAAATGTAAGTGGTAGAAGCACAGCCGGATGTAGCTACAGCATGGTCTGTGCATTAACTGAGTGCTGCTCTTGCTGATGCTGCTTCTGCAGCTGCTTGGAGATGATGGGAGGCTTTGCTCACTGGTACGTGTAACTGTGCTTTGTCAAGGAGAGGAGCTGAATTTTCATGTCAAGTCTTACGGTTTTTGACAAAAGTCTAATAGGCCCTTATATTCAGGCCTCTGTGCTGGTATTCAGACTCAGAAACTGGTATCTGGTTGGATCTTTCCAGAAAGTGGATGTCCTTGCACATAGAAAGAAAATGTCTATTCATCTCCTCCTAGCTGGTGATAGAAGTGCAGGTGGGATTCAGGTCAGACATTCATAGCAGCCTTCTGTGAAGTGACTTGTTGAGTCAGTGGCCACTGATGACAACGCGGGCCCAGTCTTTAAATTCTCTTGCATGCCTGTACTCATTAGCATCATCTGGTGTGTACTTGTTGGAAGTACAAGCTTGTGGGATCAAGCTGGTGTTGGTCTCCTGTCCAGAGCGTAGGATGATGTTCTGTTTGCCACAAATGGCAGGCTGTAGAGCGATGCAATCCTGCTGGTTAGTGAAGGCAGCAAAATAACACTGTGCTTTTTGAAACACTGAACCTGGTAAAAAGGTGTAGTTTGTCTATCACTGTCTGTGTTCCCTTCACCCCAGGGAGGCTGTATGGAGCTGATGACTTCTTGCCTGTGTTGACGTATGTATTAGCCCAGTGTGATATGCTAGAGCTGGATACTGAAATTGAATACATGATGGAATTGCTGGATCCATCTTTGCTACACGGAGAAGGTAAAATTTGGTTTCTTTTCCCTCTCTTCCTTTTAAATTAAAATTGAATAAAAGACTACGGAATGGAGATTTTCCTTGACAGTGCAATTACTATTACCTTGTTTGACTGTAAATCTCTTCAAGGAGAGTACTAAAGTCAGTGATGTCAGTAGCATAACAAGAGACTCTCCTAACTATTTCTGCCTTGGAGTATGGAAAAACCCTGGCTTTCCTGGTGGGATGTGCTTGCAGAGTGTAGACTGAGTGCTCTGGGAACCTGCTGGTGTATGCTTTCTTATGAGGGAATGCAATTTTTTTCAACTAAGAACGGAGAGGCGTCATGACTTGGCAAGCAAACCCATATACCATGCAGATGCTGAATGTGTTTATTCTTCAGTGCCTGAAAATATTGTGAGTGTATTTATAGTGCCACAGCATTTAGTTAAGTTGCGTGACTCAAAACGGGGCCTAGGGGAGATACTTTGTAAAAGCTTCTTGAGGAATTCTCTGCCGGGGAAATGCTTTTGAGAACACCTCCCCCTTGATGCTCTTTGCTTCCTCCCAGTGTTTGCTTCTTGCAAAGTATTTTTATGAGCCCCAGGAAGGCATTTTTTATGGCAGGCATGACTGAAGGCTGAGGTCCACTAGAGGCAGGGAAATCTGCTTCCTTCTCTCTTCTTTCGTGGCAGTGTTTTTAAAACAGAGGTGTTCTGCAAGACCTTGGTAGCCCCCAGAATCCACCACTTTGTGAGGAGGTTGAAAGGCTCTTGTGACCAAGTTCAGCTGTGAGTTTAAATATATATGTTTATCTGTTTCCTGTCCCTGCTATCTTTAGACTTGGAATTGCTGTATCCTCTTTCAAGTCGGTATGTGTGAGAGGCACGCCAGGATTCCTCCCCTTTGGTACTGGCTTGTTCGCTGCCTTTGCATAGAGAGCATCCTCTAGTGCATTGTTCAGGAATCTTAATATGGATATTACTTTGAGGCGTGAAGCTGGAGATTATTGACATGCTTGAAAAGCAGAAAAAGTCATGTTATTTTTAATTCAGCAAAAGAGGTCCATCTATTGGTTGGCCCTGTCTTTGGCACCAGAGGCGCTATACCGCGCAGGAAGAATTGTTTAGTGCTTTGGGGTTGTGCAGCTCAAATGTGATGTATTGTCCAATTTGGCTCATGGCTCTTGCATGTGTTTTATATATAGAATTTGTTGCAAAGCTAGAAGCCAAGTGGATGCTATCTGTCATACTGAAAATACTCCTGTCAGCATAGAATGCGTCTTTAAATGACAGCATGAATAGACTGTGCTGCTTTTAATTGGATACTCCCACTTAACTAGTTTACTTAGAAAATGAAATAAACCAGAGCATGTCTTTTCCCCAGGTTGCTGAGAGCTCTTAGCTCATGCTGGGACTCCTTTTCCTTTGTGATCTGCAGCTTTTTTTGTATGTCAGCAATTGTCTTGGCTTTAATTCATTCTCTATTCGTATAACGAAGGTGAAGTAAGGAAGATTGCAGACATTGCCTTCTGTACTAGCTGGACATTGGCTGGACTGCCAAAAAACAGTGAAAAAACACTGGAAGTCTTCCTTTAAAAGAAAAAGCGAACAAGCAGCAACAGCACAACCGCTAGAGCCAGGCTTATGGCTAAACGGTTGGATTGGGCATTCAAACTATGACAAATGATTTTGGGATGCTTCCTGGGTGCAAATTACACTCCCAGTTGTTACTTTGTTGCCACTGAGTATAGTTGCTTTTAAGTTTCTGAGTCATGATAGATTGTCCTTTATTTTGCTTAAACAGCTATGTGTATTCCATCTACGTTTGAAAACTGGGAAGAAAATAAATTAGTTTGAAAGTTGCTTGGAAGAAAACTCATGTCCCAACTTTGTAAAAACATTCAGCAGTAAATGAGCATCTTACACAAGTCACTTAAGTAACTAGCTATCCCTAGCACTAGTGGACCCAGAGTTGACCTACCAGCAGGCGTAGGTCAGTTCACCTAACCAAAAACACTGAGCTTATCATAGCTGTGTGTATGCAGGCTCCGTGTCTCCAAGATTTCCAGATCTCAGGAAGATATGTTGGCCCAATATCTGTGTTACTTTTTTAAAGTAGGAGAGCAGTACGCTAATAGCGATAACTGTTGGGCAGTGCTTCACTTGCAAGGTGTTGCATTGCTTGTAAAAGCTGCAGTCTGAAGTATGGAGCAGTTGATAGGGTAGTATAGAAAAAAGAAATTAAAAAGAAAAAATTAGTAAAGAGCAGTTCTAATCATGTTACCAAATTTGCTGCTGTAAATTACATGTCTATATGGTAAGAGTGATTATGAATTCTTAATTTTTATTTTCCTTACAGGTGTCAGTAGTAGTAGTATCATCTCATTACCCAATTCAGAATGCTGGTGGGGGAAAACAAGCTGCCTGCTCTCTTTCTTTACATACAGATATTTTGACAGCAGAGTCCAAGGGCTTTCATTCGCATACGCGCACACACAGATAGATGGATCAAATGCGTCTTTTCTTCTGTGAACTGTCAGAACGTCTAGCATCCTGTTTGTGACTGTTCTGAGAAGTCCTTCTCTTGCTGTCCTTCACAGGAGGCTATTACTTGACAAGCGCATACGGAGCACTTTCATTGATCAAGAACTTCCAGGAAGAACAAGCTGCCCGACTGCTAAGTTCAGAAGCCAGAGATACCCTCCGGCAGTGGCATAAGAGGAGGACAACTAACAGAACAATACCTTCAGTTGATGATTTTCAGGTACAGCCCAGGGCTTAAAAAAAAAAAAGGGAATGATTGTTCTGTTGGAAACCTCCATTTGTGAGGTGTGATTCTTTATGATTCCCTTGGGGGCATGAAGGAAGCGAAGTGAAGCAGTGCTGAGAACATGGCTTACAAGTTTTCCCCAATTTTTTAAGTCTTTGCACTTTTAAAAAGTTCAATTATAATGATTGGAAGAAAACACTAACTAATGGAACTGCCCCCTGTCTTTCCATGGACAAAGTGAATCATATCTTAGATTTAGCTTCTTTGTATGCCTTACTGTTAAAAAGAACAAATCCACATTTCCAGTGGGGTAGATCAGCACAGCTCCCCTGGTAAGGTAATGGTGGCATACAGCAGGCAGCAGAGAGAGGTGGGAGGAAAGCAGTGTTGATTAAAAGTTAAGCAAGGACCAGAGTTCTACACTATGAATGTCTTCATCTTTTTTTTTTTTTTCTCCCTCCATTTCTTACTACTCTTTCAGAGTAGGCCAGTAGCTTCAACTGAAGAATAACAGTCTGGATTATTTCATCTTCTAAAATCAGATCTGTAGGTCTTTCACATAAAATCGTAGTATGCTGTTGACTGGCTGTTCAGATACATCAGTTCCTGGACTGAAGCACGGAAGATGCTGGACTCGAGAAGCAAGGATTTATTTCTTTGGTTTTAGCTGCCTACTGTTCACATCATAGCCCAAAGTTTAGGCTATGATTTAGTCAAGATCTTGAGAAATAACAGTGGAGGGTCATCAGAAGACAGTGAAACTTTTCAGTGGAGGCTCCTTGGGCTTTATCAGCGTCCATGCAAAGGACTACAGAGCAACGCTGAACAGGAAGGAACTGGGAAGAGAAGCAGTCTTGCCTGATGTGTCTCTCTTTAGAAAGAGAACTGATCAACAGGGATCTTGAGCTATGGCCGCTGCACAAAGCTAGTCCATCTTGCTGGGATCCATTTTATATTTGGCTTATCTGTAGTTAGGGGAAGTCTCAAGCTATTTGAATCTGACATTCTTTCCAGCAAAACACTGCACTGTTTGTAGGAAGCTTCATCTTCTTGTATCTGCTCTGAATAACTAAATCTCAGAGGATTATTTTGGCAAAATCTCGTATTCTGTCTCACCTTCTCTTGCTCAGCAGAGACACTTCAGCCAAGCTAATTGCACACCTGGATGTCATGCTGGGTGGGGATGCTGTGGGCGATGGGGGAAGAACTGGCGCCGAGTGAGTGTCCAGGGCTTCTTTTCATTCTGTTGTCTGTTTCAAAACAGCCTCGAATCAGTAAGATCACACCCCTGCCAGGCTACGCTTGGCACAAATTCATGCACTTTTCTGCCTGCTCGGAATGCTAGTTTACTTTCTGCACAGTCTGCAGGCTTGAAATAAAATACCTGCCCTATGGACACATGTGTAACACAGCTTCAGAACAACTAATCCTTCCCACACCAGGGAATGCACTCACTGTATTTCTATGATGCAGTCTCACAGGCTTCTCAGCTTTTGGACCCTTGCAGGCCTTCTCTCTTCCTCCCTCCCTCAAAAGGATGGAAAAGCAAAAATCCCATGTGTCGATGATTAAATAGAACTTTTTGATACTGCATAAATAAATTTGATACTTATGAGCTACAGGCATTTGTGTAACCTTCAGCCTCTTCTTCAGGCAATCCCGTCTGCTTAAAATTGCATACATTTAAGAAAAACACATCCTTTGTGTGTTGACTACATTAGAAATTAAAATTGTGGTGCATTTTGCCTTACTTAGGGCTGCTCATTTATTAGATCCTTAGCTGGATGACCAAAATGGGTTGTTCTGTTAGTCAGCTTCATGAAGTCCCAATGGTTTAAATGGTGTTGCAGAGCTTCAGTGTTTCAGTCTGCAAAAACTATCCAGGAATGTTTATTAAGAAAAAGAAGTGCTCTTTGGAGCTTAAATAATAAGTCATGTGAAGATTCCTCTTGGTCTTAGCCTTTAAATAATGTGTATGAAATGTAAATTTTTACCATAGTGATTTGGCCTGCTTAATATATATTCTACATACAAACATAGGTACGAGCTCATTCAATAAACAGTCCTTTCTCATTGTCATCATCTTATGCTTTAATTTTACTGCTTTTCGTAGTCTTTCCAGATAAACTTCTCTAAATGAAGCACTCCACAACAGGCTGCCTCGTTTGTGTGTCCAAAACGTGACTTTCCTAGTTGCCTTTTCTTTACTTTTCAAACGCTTTTTGGAAGGTAGAACTGTGCCTCTTAGGGCATGTTTAGCATTTATCCGTGTTATCAGAGCTGTGGGCATGTGTCAATTTCCATAGAGGAAAAAGGTCCGTTCTTTGCCTCAAGATTATATAGATTCACTCAAAAGCTCCACAGTAAACTTTCTGCAGCATCCCTCTTTAGAAAAGAAAAATTAAAAAAAACCCTGTCACACACAACCCATAACATAAGGCTCAGAGACATAACTAATTGTCACTGGATAATTTGATGAAAATGCCCTAAATGAGGTTGCATTACCTTTCACACACTGCAGGATAAGATTGCAAACAGGTGTTTATCATGTAGTAACTTGTTTTTAGGTCAACACCCTTGTTTTAAAATTGGCATTGGCTTTTTTTTTTTCTTCTTCTTCTGACTATTGTAGTGTGTGAAGCTTCTGTACTCTAGACTGACCCAGCAGCGGCAGCAGCATCTTTTGGACATGCTGCCTCAGAAGTTTATTTTGCTTCTCAGCATTTTGTTCCCTCATAAGGCCAGGCATGAAGTCCCATTAAAACCGCTGGGGCTTGCCATGTGTTCAAGGCTGTATCTGCTCGCTCTTAATTGCGGGGTTAGACTGTAAACCAAGGGAAGGAGGATGAAGGCTTACTGAGTTTCTGTCATGCCCTCCACATTTGCCACAGTTTTACACCACCATCATAATCGACAGAAAGATGCCTACTGTTTATTGCTGACTCCTCAGTTTTCAGAGGATGAGTTTTGTGGGGGGGGTTTTTTCAGTGTCTTATGTCTGTTTTCTCATTCTACAGAACTACCTTCGAGTTGCATTCCAGGAAGTTAACAGTGGATGTACAGGAAAGACCTTGCTAGTAAGGCCATATATCACTACGGAAGATGTATGTCAGCTCTGTGCTGAAAAGTTTAAAGTGGACAATCCAGAAGAATATAGCCTCTTTCTTTTTGTTGATGATACCTGGCAGCAACTGACAGAAGATACCTACCCTCAGAAAATCAAGGCTGAGTTGCACAGTCGCCCGCAACCGCAGGTCTTTCACTTCGTCTACAAGCGCATTAACAGTGATCCATATGGTGCTATTTTTCAAAACAATGACGACTCTGCTGCTTAAAACCAGCAACTTGTTGTTTAATTTCTGTTGCTTGTTAGCTGTTGAAAACACCTTTGCTGCCTACCTGGGGAGGTAAAACAGTCTATGCAGGTCTTAAACCATAAATGCCTAGTAAAACACGTGCAAACGCTTCTAGCGTTGTGTATGGAAAAAACATGTAAACCATGCATATGGCCAGTTATGTGGAATATTCAACCAGAGTGTCTGAGTAAACAGCCCGTGAAGCTGAATTTCTGGTACCACAGACTTCTGAAACATATTATACTGTGGCCCTCTGCAGGTCTCTTGCTGTAGTGTGCCGAAATCTCGTTTCTTCCACTCATCCTTTAGCCAAATGTCATTTTGATTTAAATGTCTGTATGCTAGACAAATGTTTCAGTGAACTGGCTGGTACATGCTCGGTTTGACCAGCATGTGTTTGACAAGACTGTCCGATGCGGGGCATCAGTTAACTCATAATTATCTGGATGGTTGCGTCCTTTCCTAATTTTTTTTATTACAGAAAATCTCCATGTTTTTATATATATTTCATAGAAATTTTATAGCAGTTGCAGGTAAACTGTCAGGGTTGGTTTTTTAAATATTTTTTTAACTATAAAGTATTCTATAATTATGCATGTGATTTTAACATTTAATATACAAGAATAAATCTCTTGCTGGTTTTAGAGTATTGCATTAAAAGTCTCCGTGGTTTCTCTTTTTTCATGTTACAGGAAGGTTTTTATGAAACTTCTGTTGTCTATAAGCAGGTTGCAACATTGGCACTGGTGATTTCAGTGCCTTTATCTGAACTTGATGTACTGTTACATGGATTATTGTTTATATGCATTGTTTTAGATAGAAATATGGTTTTGGAAGAGGACGATGAAAGAAAAGGATGTAGAGAAGGGGTAGAGAAAGAATGTAGAGAACCTGATTTAGGAATAAAATGTGTTAGTCTGCTGGTTCAGGCTCCTTGCAGAAAGAGAGCAAAGGAGGGTGGTTAGAAACTTTTATGTATACAATATTGTAGATATGCAGATGGATTTGATAGCACCTGTCCCAGATACTATTTGTGTTAGCAGAGGATTAAATATCAATAAAACGAGTGGGAACACTAACCATTTTATACAGTCTGTCAGCAACATCAAAATGTGCTTTGGACTGAAGAGTATGTTGTAACATTTCATGATTCTTAAGTTACTGAGTAGGCGACACATGAAAGTCAGTGTCCTAAATATACAAAGGTAAAACGGTATTAAATGCGTCTGTTCTTGTGACTTGTCTAAGGTAGTTGATGCTGTGGGTGACGCTCTGGTCCCTGCGTAAGTCAAAGAGGACTATTCTCTTTACAGAGACCAAGGGCTCTCCTCCAGTCCTTGGAGCAGTGTATCTTAAGGCAGGTGATTACAAAAATGCGTCATGAGTAGCACGTATATTGTACATTTGAAGATCTGTACCGTTTTTAATGTCAGTTTACCATGTATCTTGAAACCTCCGGCACATGTTTGTATTTCATTTTGTAAATGATAAATGGTGAGTTTTGCACATAATACATTGTAATAATGAACTACAACATGGGATGTTGTGTGCTTTTTCTTAGAAAGAGTTTGCACTTGAATGTTCTGTGTACCAGCAGACTCTCATGATACTGCTTTTTGTATTGCTTGGCCCACTTTAAACTCTTGAAACATCATGAAAGGATGAAAGAAGCGATCGTTAGCATTTGTAAAATAGTGTTGTGAGAAGCTGATCACATTAAATAGTTTGAGTTCACACTAAAGGAGAAAAATAATTCTGATGTTAGATAGCAGCAATGATATTCCGCAGGCTAGGCCTCAATTCACTGACTCTTCCTCTTTTTACAATATAACTACTATCATCATTTTGTTAGTTTTTTGTACAGACTGGTAATGTGCATCTAAAAGCATTTGAAGATGTCGGGGCTTCCTAGCCTGAGTCAGTCGTTCCGCTTTGCGTGCTTGACTTGAACTGTCAGTAGAACAAGCTGGCAGGTGTCGTGGCTGCGGAACCATTTCTTGCAAAGTTCAGACTGATACTTAGATCCCGTGAAAAATCTCACCACTCTTACACGATGGCAACTCTGTTGAGGGAGGGAAGGGCTGGGGCAGAGAGGGTAAGTATTGAGAAACTCCAAACTTCCAAGTGTGAAACAAAGGAAAGCAAAAAGCGCAAAGAGGAAGCACGTGCCCCAACCCCCTCAAGATGATTCCGCTGCCTGTTCTTATGCAATTGTTTCTTTTGAAAAACAGACCATTTTATTCACTTCTCTGGGCAAAACACTTCTTACTTCTCATAATGCCAGGAAACAGATGATACCAAAACTTTGGAAGGGATTTGCACTTGTAAAAATAAAGCTATTCCATCTTCTCTGATGAGAGTAGTTGGATGTTACGAAACACCGAGAGAGCAAGAGAAAAGCTTTTAACTGAGGTACTTTTTAAAAAATTATTACGCTTTCTTTTCTGAAATGGAGTTTTTTATAGTAGCTTTTTACAGTAGCTGTAAAAGCTAAAGTAAATTAAGCTGGAGGTAATCAATCCCTAAATCTTACTAATAAAACAGGCTTAACAGAAAAGTGACCGCCGTCTTAGGGAATTAGATGTGCTACTTCTTACGCCTTCACATCTTGAAAAATCGTAAAACATCAACTGAAGCAGCTTAAATCAAGCCTGCCTCTTCGCTGTTATTCCCCCATGCTCCCTTTTCTTATGGTGACCCTTAAAGGCTGCAGCTGGCCTTACAGCCTGAGCCTTCTGGGCAAGTCCCGCGTTTAGCGGCTTGTTCTTTCTTAAGTCACCGCATCACACATCAAGTGAGAGCTCGTTACAAAGGGGCAGGGACCGTGGTGTCCGAAAAAGAGAGCCTGCTGCGCATATAAACGAGCTCATACATCAGCCTGAGTTCCCTAAAATAAAAATGCATTAAAAAAAAAGAAGAAGAAGAAGAAGGCATTCTGAGGTCAGCAGCCGCACAGCTCTTGCGCCGCTTGTTATTGCCGAGGAAAAAGACCCAAAATGGCGCCGCCCCGCCCTGCTCCCTTCCTCCGGGCCCCGCCCCCGCGCCCGGCGTCGCCTAGCAACCCCGCACC